AATGACTGACAGCCTGGCTGGTCAAACTAGGACTTCTGAGAGAAAGATTGTCTTTCACATGGGCTAAACTGTCTTGCTTTAATGTTTGGAAACTAATGCTGTAAAATTTGTAGTCAACTCAGAGGGGCAGTAGCCTGCTCTGTGATCATGAGAGTCCATATTACATATTAGCATAATTATTTCTTGTTAAACGTCCTTCTAGTTCCTCAGAAATGGCGAGACAATTTATCTGTGGACTTGGGGAAAGGACATGAGGATAAAAAGATACTACTTTGTATCTAACAATCAACCTCATAAGTGTGTTTTGGTTCTTGTAATTAGAATTTTTATTTACTTATTTATTCATTCATATTGTCATTAGGAGCATTCCCGGTGGCTACCTTGATTTTATATTGCTAATACTGGCATGCAAAACAGACAGGAGTTAGGACTCTGCCTTTTAGTTAATTATTTCATAAGGCACAGGGATTCAAGATAAAGCCTGGTCTTCACAGTCATCTTGAGGACATATGGTCCCCAGGTTTTTTAACTGGAAAGCACACTGAACCAATCCTGCTGCACTGGCTGTATGTTGTGCTTACCTCTACCATCTAAGTTGAAGACGTCCCAGCTCACTGCAGAGGCTTGGACTAGGTGGCCTTTACAGAACCCTTCCAACCCAAACTACTCTATAATTCTATTATTAAAACTTCATTTAAGACTTAAATAAGGGTTATCTAACTGTAGAGGTTATAACTATATAGGTCTGTCTCCTTATGTTATGCTGTCTCTAAACCTAATCTGAAATAAAACCCTCCTCATGTGATGCAGTCTCATAGTCACTCGCAGCGAAAGCTCCTCTTGTCAGTTCTCCATCTTAAACTGTCAAAAACTAAGGATGTAATTTCTAGGGGTGCCACAGGCTTTGTGTTCTAAACACCCTCCTATCCCTACTGTGATACAAATTTAGTAATAATGCTCTTGGCAACTTGTGGATGGCAACTTCTGAATGTGGGACAATGACAAGTAGATACCAATGATCGTGGTCTGTAGTTGTTTCAAATTAATTTCATGACCTTCTGTTTACTAATTCCCCTTGTGCCCCCCAATACTTCAACCTTCCCAGTTCAAGTTTCAAAGTCTCAGTTATAGCCTGAAAAACATACACATATATTAGTAGACTACTTACTTTTACCTGGAATTCAAAATTTGCTCAAGCAATTGTCCTCCTTCCTCATACTAGTCCATTACCCAAATTAGTTTTGGAAATTGTGCTGCCTCTTAGTGGGTGCTTGAATGAGAATTTGATGATGATGAAAAACTCCTGTCATTGTCCTGTTGTTTTGGAAGCTCATTAGATGAGGTACAGAGAGTGTAAGTGATCCACTTGTTTTATGGCCTTCTATAAACGATAACTTAGGAGGTATAAAACCAAGTAACTGCATCTAGACAATTTAAAGCCAGGAGCAGTGCAATAATTAAAAGATCTTTCTAAACTGTACTGGTAGAACAGGCAAACCACTATAATCAACTTATCTGGGGAAGTAATCAGACAATAAAAACTGAGGCATTATAGGGACTAATAAAGCTGGAATCTAATGACTATAATAAATCTTTAGCTGCAGTTATTCCAGAACAATTTTCCTTGCAGTAAAAAGTATTCCACAGGGCTTTTGGTATGAAATTATTGTTGGTTGGATGGTTAGATGTTGATCATAAGAAACAACTGCAGAATGATAATGCATTTTCATCATTCACCTGTCTCTTTCACCATGAAGTCTTTTGGCTTCATTGAAGGGCTAGACTCAAGTAAACCTTTGACAGACCAGAAATATATTTCTCCATTGACTTTCTGTACAAAAATACACGCTAATATTCTAATGTCCTATATATTTAGTTCAGCATGGCATTATGCAGCAGTTTTGGATTTTGAGAACTATACATCTGTGTTGGTCATTTTGCATACAGCTCATATCTGATACAGGCTACAATTAAATACCTAAGTAAATCCATAGGTACTATGTATACTCTTGTAAGCAGAGCTTGCAAAGGTGGAACTCAGCCCACCCAACTTCAGGTGACAGTGCTGGAGATGAGCTAAGCATGTAAGCTCTTTCTACAGCTAGTGGAGCTCTGGTGAAGATTCTCAATGGAATTTAGGGGACAGCTCATCTCAGTCTACAGCAAAAACCTACACTTAGAAGAATAGCACTTCAGTTTACTCAAATTATACAGGTTAGATCTTTACTGGTACCACACTGGAATCATACATATCCTCTTCGAAGGTAAATACCTGGAATAAACAGTGGTGATCACTGACCCTGGTATCAGAATGACACTTGCAGGAATGACAATGTCCTAAGCATGGCTTATATATACTTCTGTCCCTGATGCAATGCAACTGAGTGCTCCAACCAAACAGCATTCACTTTTAGCAGTTCTGAAAAGTAAAAATTATTATTTATAATATTATTACCTATGCTGAAGTTCACTGTATGAAATTAACATGTTCATTGCTGAAAATTACTGATCCAGTTTTTAGATCCATTCTTCATCAATACAAATTAACATTTAAGATATGCCAATACAAGTCAAAGTAGAAAAATTAAGCTCCTTACTTAGATTTATTTTAGCCTATGTGACTAAAACCAGTTCATATGGAAAGGCATCTTATGGATGTGGCGTGTATGTCCTGCATTGTACTACCTGTGAAACACTTTAAATAATTATTTCTCCAGATTCACCCAAAATATCCACCCCATTTAAATTCCTCAAGTATAAACTCTGATCACATTATTATGGAAAAGATGAAGAATTCTTCTCAATTAAATAAAACAGAGAAACCTTGAAGTAATAGTATACTACAAACAAGTTTATTTTTTTGTTTCTTTAGAGGAATTTTTGGAGGGAGATTTTGTTAATACAGAAGAAATTTCAATGAGACCTTAAATAAACTCCATGAAATATTGTTGAATACTGAAATTTACAGAATTATTAAGACACTAGGTGAACAAAGTACTGTGAAGGCTGCAGCAGTGAAAAATGTTAATGCCGTAATATCTACTCAAAGCTCTAAATGCTCTCTGCACAGAAGGCTCTTTGGAGCTTGTATGTCCAAATATCAAAAAACAAATGCAGTCTTGCACATACATCTCCATGCACTGTCAAAATCATAAGCAAACCCTAAATCCAAGCTAAATATTAATTTTAAAATTCTCAGCTCTTTAGATTTCTCAGTTTCCTACATACACCACACAATCACATTACAGTATTTTCATCATAGTCATCAATTTATTGCTGCATCTTATTAGGGTCATTTTATTATACTGTTCTAACAGTTCAATAAAGCCAGGACATAATGGTGGTTTTTTCCTTCTATCAAGTATGGAAGCCCAGTACAGTAAGGTATTTCTTGCCAAACCTATCCTTTTATAAATGGAAATGTAGACATAACTGCCTTGCTTTGCAAATTTCTTTTGCTTTTTATATGTAATGTTTACGTGTGACGTATTTCATAATTAAATAAAATGTTTAACGCTTGCCAGTCCTAGAAGGTTATATCTGAAGTACCAATATAGAAAACCAAAACTAATAAACCTTACCAAAGATGATAAAAGTAGCATTCCTAAGTACCCAAATATAAAATAACAGCACACAGAAAATGGAAAGGGAACGAAAAAGGAGTAGACACCAGCAGAGTCACCAGATCCCTTGGCAGAGGCCCTGAGGTCTCTGTGCACTGTCAGCTATTGTCAGCTACAAAACATGACCCCAGAGAAGGAGGTTCTGCAAGTTTCATGCAGTGACATGGACATGCATGGGGCCAGAGCCAATGTCATCATAGGGAGAACAAAGTCACAGTGCTCTTTAGCAAAACCTCACTTCTTTTTCATCAAACCTGCCTCTGCATCTTCCTATATAAACCAAGACAGACAGAAACCCTTACTGAGTAAACATGGAGCTCACAAGGACTGATTTTCTTCTCACCTTAGGCTTAGCACAGCTGCCAGTGCTGAAACCAGCGCCTAGGACCAGGCAGCCCAAGCTGGCTCTTGCCACAGGCGCAAGAGGAGCTTGGTGAAACTGTGATCTCCACAGTCCTAAATTAGGAATATGAATGACACTGAACATCTTACTCCTGAGACAGCAGGAGTTGTCACAACCACCCTGTGACCCAGTGAAATGCTGCAGGTTTGAGGAAAAGTGGCTGGCAAGCTGCCTTTTGGAAAGGCTCTTAGGGGTACTGGTTGACAGCCAGATGAACTCAAGCCAGTGGCATCCTGGCCTGTATCAGCAATCGCGTGGCCAGCAGGACCAGGGCAGGGATTGTCCCTCTGTACTCAGCACTGGTGATGTCATACACAAATCCTGAGCTCAGTTTTGGGCCCCTCACCACAGAATGACATTGAGGTGCTGAAGTGTGTCAAAGGCAACAGAGCTGGTGAAGGGTCTGGGGCACAAACCTTACGAGGAGTGACTGAGAGAGCTGGGGTAGTTTAGCCTGGAGTAAAAGAGGCTCAGGGGAAACCATAGAAGTTTCTACAACTACTTGAAAGGAGGTGGTAGTGAGATGGGGGTCAGTCTCTTCTCTCAGTCCCAGGCAACAAGTGACAAGACAAGAGGTAATGGCCTCAAGTTGCTCCAGGGGAGGTTTAGATAGGATATTAGGAAAAATGTCTCCACTGAAAGGGTTGCCAGGATGCCCTGGAGGCATTTAAAAGAAGTATTACTCAGGGACATGGTTCAGTGTCAGGTTAACAGTTGGACTTGATGATCTTAAAGGTCTTTTCCAACCTAAACAGTTCTATCATTCTATTCTGTGACCATTTAAGAGGAGAATACAGATGACAGCCTTGGAAACAACTATGTGTTTACTGACAAAAGCAGATACTTTCTGGATGTTTCTCCAACTGCAGTTTATCTACATAGAATGTACAGGAGCTAAGTTTCACTACTATTTAGTCTGATTTAAGTCAATCCTCCCAGAAAGCATGCTTTTGACTTGCAGAACAGAGCATTACTTTCAGACTTACCTTTTTCTGTTTTGTCGTGTTCAGTTTCTTTTTCATTCTTCCCTAGAATATTAAAAATATAATTTCATTGAAATAGTCTGTTAACAGTTTATGATAAAAAGAGGTACAAAAAAATTACAACTTATACTCAAAATATAATTGAGCCAACAGGATTTTTTGTTTCTGTTTTGTTCTTTAAGTAACCATAGATTACTGAACTATATAGTTACCTAAAAGATCTTCCTCTGCAGATGCTTCAACTATTACATTATTGCTTCCATCACAAAATATTTCATAGAATTTCCCCTTTAGATATTTAGTAGATTTTTGGTAATACATACTTACATTGCAAACTATTTTGCAAGAAAGAAAATCTGTTTACTCATTAAAAACTATTGGGAACACTATCTTAACATATACATTTGACTAAAATGTGAAAATCAATTGGGCACCTGTCTCATTGTCAGAAGTGACTTGGGCACTTGGAAGGCTTTGTCTTTATTCAACTTGTAAAATAATTTAATAGGTGCTTTGTAAACATCTGACTGCACAGGTAAATGTTAACTAAGTATTAAGACAGACTGTAGCAAAGGCAGACTACATCCTTTACCAAAGTCATGTATGTGGATATCATGAAGGGGGTAGACTCAAACAGGCTTGTCATCTCCTCTTTTATCTCCTCTCTAAACACTTTTTGATCCTACCCTACTCCACAACATTTAAAACATCTTGCCTCACAATTCTAGCATTGCTGTTCTGCTTTCAGTTTTGTCCCCTTAAACTTCCAGTATTTCCTTACAATAAACTTAGAAAACACTAAGAAGAGAGTTATGTTGGCTTTTAGTCAGTTATTTTCCTCTCTAATATATACTGTTGAGGTATTCTTATGTATATAAAAAGACATTTTCTTCAATTTCCAAGTCATTTAGAGACACCTTGTTAGAATACTCAATCCTCACAGTTTTTTAACCTGGCTGCTCGAAAGCATTATACTGTGAATAAGACACACCATTAAAAACATTTTTTTCATGGATAAACTGGGTTACACATACATGAAATCAAATTATTTAACACTCTCATTTAACCCTTTAATACAGGCTGACAACCGCTACTCCTGAATGTATGGACAGTACAACTCCGATTTATATTCAGTACCAGGCAGAATGAGCATTAACTTGGTTGCGATATGGTAAATTAAATAAAAACGGTCACGCTAAAAGTCATTCAACTCTCAATTATATCACAAAATCTATACTGTCAATTAAATTGAAAGAAATAACAAGAGATCCATAGAGTCAATTACATACTAAGGGATAATTAGTATTCTAACAGTATATTAACGAAAGCATAGTGCAGTACTTCCTCAAATATTGGCATTTGGATTTTTTTTGTGCACATCACACAAGAAATGGTCATGTATATCTGTACATCATCAGAAACACTGCATTTAAAAAAGAGCAATAATGCAGGTCCAGATTTATATTTCTACTTTTTACACAGAACAGTTTAAATACTCATATTTCTATTATTTTTTATCAGCTCACAGCACACAAACAACTCCTAACCATGACACAGCATGCTCCTTAGCCACCTATTTTCCCTGCAACTTCTCCTTTATCAGCAACATTGACATTCTCACCTGACCTCTTCTCTCTACTTCCTTCTAGGTCACTCAGTGATCTGCTTCCACACATCCTGGATATTCAAGTTATTTCTGCAACTCATAGGTAGAACAAGCTATGAGCTGTCTCTAAAGCCTGCTCCTATCTTCCGTTTCTTGTCTAGCTTGGCATTTCTTTACTACTGAGACTCAAGCACCATATATAACCTCAGTTCTCTATGCCCATCTATGTACTAGAATCAGTCCTCTAAACGCACTCTCAGACTTTAGTACTCTGCTAAATTAGGTACCATTCATTTTACCAAAGCTTCTCCAATGATCTTTAAATACTTTAACTTCTCCTTCTAGGCAGCTGTTTTTGAAATTCATCACAACTTGATCTTGTTAGCTCTGAAGATCTTGTTTCTCTCAGTTTTCACCATACTTAACTAAGTATGATGCATCATATTCAGCACATGTTGCTTTGTTCCCTTCTCACCAATCCCTGGCATACTTTGATAGTGAAAATGGTTTTAGTTATGCTATTGCTGACAAAGGCTTAAAAATGTGCTATCTCAAACACAGAGATATGATAACAAATCTTGAGACTGTTTTGTCATGAACTAAACCCAATTGTAGCTCAGACAAAAAACCAATTCCTAGCTCTTCAAACCCCTCTCATCCTTGACTCAATTTCTCAATTTCCAGCAAAAACAAATCTAGATCAAAATCATGGACAAAATTGTTTTAGCTCATCTCCACAGGCCGGGACTGCTATCACTGTGTCACATATGCAACAGGTGTTCCCAAGAAAGTTTCTATCATAAAGAATAAATTTATTTTTGACATTACATCTAAATGTTTGTGACAGCATGTAACAATGACCCATGTCACAATCAAAAATCTATTTCAGACCTTGTAGATTTTACATGACTCTCAATCAACACTATAAGTGCACAATACAATTTATTTAAATATATGTAAAAGACAAATGATATTCAGTAAAAACATTACATTTTTCAGTGTCCTTCCTATCAAATCTTAGCCATTTTCTTTACTTCTTAGAAAGAAGTACCATGATATGGTACCTTTTAAATTACTGAGAATATGAAAAAGTCACTTAAATTTGTAGTAAATTGTCAATATTAAAATACAACAAAATAAAACAATATCCTACCCTTTCCTTATTGGTATTTCCTCCTGTGATTTCCAAAAAAAGCAACTGAATCCAAGACTTCATAGATGTACTGAGATAGAGCAAGAAGCATTGCAGCAATGTAAAATTATAAAGAAAAATGTAATCTTTTGACTTTTTTTTAAAACTACAGCTTCTTACTCAGCAATATTTCATCATTAAAGCTATGGAGGTGTTTGAAAACTGAAAAAGTCTAGAAGATTTTTGCTTTCAAACAGAACTGTACAGACCTTACTAGATTTCTGATTTAAACTATGGATGATATTCTGTAAGAAAAAGTGGTGTCACTCAGGGGTCAGTGCTGGGACCAATACTATTCAACATCTTTCTCAATGACATGGACAGTGGGATCGAGTACAACCTCAGCAAGTTCACTGATGATACCAAGCTGTGTAGGGCAGTCGACATGCTGGAGGCAAGGGATGCCATCCAGAGGGAGCTTGACAAGTGGGATGATGCCAACCTCATGATGTTTAACAAAGCAAAGTGCAAGGTTCTACACCTGGGTCATGGCAACCTGAGACACACCTATAGGCTGGGTGGAGAAGTGGTTGAGAGCAGCCCAGCAGAGAAGTACTTGGGGGTGACAGTTGATGAAAAACTCCACATGACCCAGCAGTGTGCACTTGCAGCCCAGGAACCCAACCATGTCCTAAGCTTCATCAAAAGGAGTGTGGCCAGCAGGTCAAAGGAGGTGATTCTCCCCCTCTACTCTGCTCTTGTGAGACCCCAACTCGAGTACTGCATACAGGTCTGGTGTCCCCAACATAAGAAGGACATGGAACTGCTGGCGCAAGTCCAGAGGAGACCACATAGCTGATAAGAGGACTGAAGCACCTTCCCTATGAAGACAGGCTGAGAATGTTTGGACTGTTCAGCCTGGAGAAATTTGTGTAGGGACCTCATAGCAAACTTCCAGTATCGGAAAGTGGCCTACAGAGAAGATGGAGAGGGACTCTTCATATGGAACTGTAGTGATAGGACAAGGAGTAATGGGTATAAGTTGAAAGAGGGGAAATTTAGATTAGATATTAGGTAGAAGTTTTTTACTGTGAGGGTGGTGAGACACTGGAACAGGTTGCCCAGGGAGGTTGTAGATGCCCCCAACCCTGGCAGTGTTCAAGGGAGGCTGGATAAAGCCTTGAGAACCTGGTCTAGTGGAAGGTATCCCTGACCATGGCAGAGGGGGTTGAGACTAGATGATCTGTAGAGTTCATTTATGATACAATGAAAGGTAGATATCTCACTTTCCACAGACATTTGCATTTGTTAAAGAGTGTTATCTCATCCATTTTAAGTTACAAATAGAAATTACGTATCATGGGAAAAATTCAGGCCAAACTGGTTGCAAAATGCCAGTACTCCAAAAGGAGAAACACAACACAATTACAGAAGACAGAGACCTTAGAGTACTGCCTGCTTCCTTCACATAATACCAGCCAGAAATAAAATTAATTGTACTTGTTATATTTCTTTCTCCTTGTAAATAATACTTTCAAATATATTTTTAAATACTCAAAATTATAACTTAAAACCAATGATAGTGGCTGAGTCAAATATTAATCCCTATAGTTAATATCTACCACAATTAGGAATAAATAATGACACTAGAAAGACAAAGATATTCTTCTGTGTTTTATTGCAGCCAAACATTAAAACAGATTAAATATACATTTTTTTAATAGTCCACTTGACCTTGCTCAGCTTGGCATATTTTTGTAAACATGAAGCACGTAAAATCACATACCCAGTTACAAAATACTTAAAATTTAATCACAGCATAATATACTCTCACAGTCCCAGAAATCTACAAATAGGCTGCCACTGTTATATAAAAAGTCCTCCATTCACCCTTCTAAAATTACTCCCAAGCTTCCTCACAAAATATGGCTTTGTAAAAATTATTGCTCTGCAATTCACAATCACAGGTAATTTCACTAGAATATTCCATCCCAAACCACATCACAGTCTAATAGTATTATTGCTTTCCTGAAAAGTCTAAAGAAATCACTTTGGGACATCTGTATTTGTTGATCGGATGTAACACTCACGTGGAGTTTTACTGAAATCCCAATCCCAAGAAAAAGGCAAGCATATATGATGCCCCGTTTACTATAAATGTAAGCATCTAAAAACCTGACTTCAAGACAGTGTTACAGAACTTGAAAGTCTCCCTGTAAACCAAAAGGCAACCACTGTTAGGGTTACCAAATTGGTTTTCCTTCTTCAGAATTTATCTTAGTGTATTTCTTCTAAGCTCTTGTATCA